GAGGTCTTATAAGGTATAAGACTTCCTCTTCCAAATAACCCTGCACGTCAAGATTCCCTTTCTCCCTAAGGTAAACTAGGAAACCTAAGATTGGCACATGTCAATATAATGAATAAGTCACGCAATTGTATTTTAAGGTAGGCAGTTTCTTTTGGAATTTAATTTTAAGGGTAACTACTATTGACTTTGAGGAGTCCTGGGCTACAAGTCGGGCTGCTAACCACAGGATTGGAGCTGCTCCTCAGGAGAAAGAGGCTTTCTACTCCCATAAAAGGTTGGTCTTGGAACTCCGAGGGGCAATCCTATCCTGTCCTATAGAGCCACTATGAGTCAGAATCAACTGGAGGACAGTGAGTTGAGACTATTGACTTTGGATATTACCATAATTTATCATTGTACCCTTCAAATTTAGAGTAACTTTAATTAGAACTAGCATTCACTCACTGTCAAATTGCTTTTGACTGATTGTGAGACTATATAGTGTCTCTGAGACCAAATTTTTATAGGAACAGGCAGGTTCACCTTTCATTGGTGAAGGAGAAATCCTCTTGTATATCCCAAATTGTTTTCTGATATTTTGAGGTACCATTATGTCAAAACACCACCTTGACTTCCTTAACTCTTCTCTCCAACCTGGTCCTAATATTATTACTTTTCTCTCCCTAGGTTGACATTAAACCACCTACTCTTCACTTACCATCTCTCCCATAAACCTATCTTTATAAATAGTCCCCAAAGACACCAGTTATAAAGATAAGGGTCTTTGACAGTCTTGTGAGATGTTAAGGTTAAGAGTCATCTTAAACACTGGGCAAGGCATTTAAAAGTATCCAAGTGCAATACAAACTGAAGTATTAGCAAAAAACAAATCCAGGAATTGACAAAATACCTGAAAAGTATCCAAAACTGATGCAGTACTAGAAACACTACTAGAAGATGCCAAGAGATTAGGAAGACTGCTTTTTGACCAACTGACTGTGGAAGAAATCTCTAACTGTGCCCATTCAAAAGAAAGAATATGGGAATTACTGATCATAATCATTAATATAAAATGCAAGTGAAATTTTGCTGAAGATAGCTCAATAGTGACTACAGCAATACATCAACAAGGAGCTGCCAGAAATGCAAGCAGGACTCAGAAGACGATGTGGCAAGTGAGGTACTGCTCACATCAGATGGATCTTGGCTAAAAGCAAAGAGTAACAGAAAGATGTTTGCTTGTATTTTATTGAATATTCAAAGGCTGTGTGGATCATAACAAACTATGGGTAACATTGAGAAGAATGGGAATTC